CGGGCTGTCGGGCTGGGTCCCTCGGTCGTCCGTCGGCATCCTCGGGGACCCGGGCTGGGTTCCTCCGTCCGTCCCTTTGCCAGGGGAGCGGGGTCCGTTTGTGTGTCTGTCCGCTTGCGGGCTGGATCCCTCCTTCTGCCTCCTCCCGTGTGCTGGGACTGCTGGCTGGATCCCTCTGTCGGTGGGAGGCTGACGGGATCCCAGTGTCTGTCTGTCTGTCTGTCTGTCTGTCTGTCTGAAGAGGGTGATGGGATCCCCCTGTCCGTCTGTCGGTGGGAGGCTGACGGGATCCTCGTGTCTGTCTGTCTGAGGAGGGTGATGGGATCCCCATGTCCGTCTGCTGCTGGGATGCTGATGGGATTCCAGTGTCTGTCTGTCTGAGGAGGGTGACAGGATCCCCGGGTCCGTCTGTCGGTGGGAGGTTGAGGGGATCCCTGTGTCTGTCTGCCTGGGGGTAAATGGGTTTAGTTCCTCCTTTTGTCTGAGGGGACTGTTGGGATTGATTTCTTCCTCTGTCGGTCTGAGGACGAGGAGTCGATGTTTACCCACCTTGTAAAGCTTGAGGGGGTTGCTATGTCCCCACCTGTGAGGGACAAGGGGGGTGCATCCCTCCCCATGTGAGGGCAGGCAGTGCATCCCCACCTGCCTGGCCCTGGTCCTGCCTGCCCAAGGGGGTCCTGGCAGCAGGGAGGGCACAGCAGCCCCGCTGTTTCCCTCTCCCTGTGCCTGTCTGCGAGGGCAGTGAGGTCAGTCCCCTTGCGGGGTGTCTGTCTGGGCCGAGACCTGTCCCTGGGCTGGCCACACCGTCCCGTCAGCTGCTGCCACCGTGTCTGGAGTTGTGACCGTAGGGCAGCTGGTTCCCTTGCCTACCTGGGATGGGTTATCCAGTGCCCGACACCAGCCTTCTGGACGTAGTGGGGCCTTGTGTCCCCTCAGTCTCTCTGGGTGGGGGGCCAGAGATAGGACAGGGTCTGCAGGTTTGATTAGGCTTTTGCCCTATCGGCCGTGGGAATGGACAGGAGGGACAAGGGAGTTTGGACTGAGATTGCGGTCACTCTTTAAGTGGGGCACTCTTAGCTTTTTGTATGCTGGGGACAGGATTGCTTATAACTTTGCTTAAGAACTGGGTGGGACTGCCCATACATGGTGGTTTGTGAAATGCTCGTGGATCGTGTTGGATGTTGGCACTGAATATGTCTGTGGTGATGCAGAATGAGCCCTGTAGGCAGAAGGGTGGGGAATGACCCTGAGACAGTCAGCTGCGTTTGGCCAGAGGCTCAGGAGGTTCCAGTGGTGTGTGTGACAGGCTCTTCTCTTCTCAGGTGAGCCCTCTGCTGAGGGAACGAACACTCTGTGCTCCCAGGTCAGGGAAACATGTCCCGTCGGAAACAGACCACTCCTAACAAAGTTCACTGTGAGTATTATATTATACAGCATTGTGGGATCCTTGCCCTAGCTGGATTGTTGTGGAGTGAGACGGGGAGGAGGGGAGTGATGAAAAGGTACAGTTTGTGGGGGAATGGTGGTTACTCACGTTTCATCTTAGGGACTGTAAGAAGTGAAACTGAGCTCTGTGCATCAGGGAAGCTGGCTGTGTCCTGGCATGGCAGGACAGGGATAGGCTTGAACAAACAACTAATACTGTAAAGGTAGGTGTGTGTGTGCAGGGCCTGTAGCTGTGCTTTGCATTTACACTGTCATGAGTGCAAGTTAGTATGCTAAGAAATGTGACTTCGGGGCTCTGGCCCATCTTGGGTAGCAAAGGAAGTTCTAGGCAAGGTGGTTTGAGTGTGTGGCTGAAAGGCAGGAAGTCTGCGTTCTGATCTTTGCCCTACCACAGACTCAACTGACTGGCCTTGGACATGTTACTTAAGCTCACTGTACCTCAGTTTCCTACTAGATAATGTAAGTAAAGCCATTTGCTCTTTCCTTGTAGGGAATGGGCAGTGGCTAAGTAATTTACTGGACAGATAAATGCTGTCTGTCAGATCATTCTTGAGCTGAGATGATAGAACAGATCTCTGTTTCTCCAGCATTGTCAAGACCCTGGCATTTGTTTGATAGTGAAAGGGCTGAAGATGCTGTACATCACCACTTCTTGTGGGCAGGCTACAGCGAGATGTTAGTGGAGCTGGGAGACACATATGGATGTTTGGCTGCAAAGGGGAAACTGCACATATACAGCTTCTGTTTGACTGATTGCAGTGGAGAGAAGTTGGCGGGACTGAAGCTGTACCCTTGTACATACCCAGCTTTGTGGCTGGAGACATGTTTAGAATTTGGGCTGGAATGAGGAAAACAAATTTCCAC